ACAATTTAAACCTTTCACAAACTAAGAAATGGCCAAGAGTTTCTCATCATTTCTTTTATATTAACTCAAACGAGAGACAATCTATCATTCTCTCTCCTCTTTTACTATTTTTTTTATTTTTTTAATAGTGAAAGATTCCTAAAAATGTTAGCGATGGAAGTGCTCTATCAAACCTTATTCATCATTTTTCCCTCTCAAATCCTTATTTAAACCAACCATCACGTCTTACTTTTCTCACATCCAACAACAAAAGACAAGATTAGAAAACAAAACTGAACTAAATCTCCAATTTTGTAATCACCCAAAAAAAAGTAAACAATATGGCTTTGGCTCTCAGGTTCTTCACATGCGTCGTTTTGATGGTGTGCATAATTGCATCTGTAGATGCATCAATCAAATGTGACACAGTGGCAAGTATCTTGACTCCATGTGCCAACTACCTATCGAAAGGTGGGGCAGTACCAGCTCCATGTTGTGAAGGAGTTAAAAAGTTGACCAGTTTGGCTCAAACCACACCAGATCGCCAACAAGCGTGTCAATGCATACAATCCGTTGTCAAAGGTATTTCTGGTCTAAATCCAAGTCTAGCTTCTGACCTTCCTAAAAAATGTGGTGTTAGCATTCCTTATCCCATTTCCATGAGCACTAACTGCAAAAAGTAAGTTTTTTTTTTTTTTGCTAGTTACTCGATCTAAATACCATGATTCATTTTTAGATTAGAATTGTATCTAGTGCCAAACTCATAGTCTTGAGTATTTGTATTGTTGCAGCATCAAGTGAAGTGGGAATGAACTCATATCATCGTTTGGATGAAGAGTATGGTTTAGCATAATTAAAAAAAAAAGAAAACTTCTATGTACGCTTATCTCATCATGCCCTTGTGTGTCTTGTTAATTGTAGTCTTTTGATTTCCTTATGTTGTATTTTAATTATGTTTAAGATATGATATTAATAGTACGTATCTTTCATGTAAAATTTAATTTAAAATGAAGGTTAGTGCCAAACTCATAGTCTTGATTCTTTGTATTTTTGCAGCATCAAGTGAAGTGGGTATGAACTCATATCATCGTTTGGTGAAGAGTATGGTTTAGTATAATTAAAATAAAAAACCGTTTATGTACGCTTATTTCATCATGCCCTAGTGTGTCTTGTTAATCGTAGTCTTTTGATTTCCTTATGTTGTATCTTAATTATGTTTAAGATATGATACTAATAGTATCTTAATGTATCCTTCTTGTAAAATTTAATTAAAAATGTTGTAAAATCAATTACCTTAAAATTATTTTATATATATAGTATCTTATAAGGCCAAACAAAATTACATGATTTAGATAGACATGTAATTTTAATTCACTTTATAAAATAAATCAAATATCTTATATTCATTTAAAATTTTATGTATAATTTAAGTTAGTTAAATAGTTAAATTAAAGATATATAATCAATATTTTCAACAACATTGCTAATTAATAAATAAGAATCTATTCAATGAAAAGAGAAGTGAAGAGATAGTAAATTGATAAAAAAAAAACTACATGTAAATCATATATATCAAACAACAAACATATCACCTTTTTTTATTACAAATCTAACTAAAAAAATTGTAAAAGAATGGCGGAAAAATGTGTATTATGATGATGCTTGCACTGATAATGATAGGATGCCAACTCAAGGCATGCAATGGAATGGAACCCATGTCAAATGAAGACTATCACACACCAATATCTCCCTCACCGTACGTATCTTTTCTTAAAGATATATGTGTAGATATCTTATATGTCTTTTCAAATTTATGGTTGTATACTTGTATGCAAGATGGAAATAATAAGGGAAGAAAGAGTTCCAAGTTAAGGCCTTATTGCTTAAAAAAAAGGTTTTGCTCCATGTAAAAGTAGAGAAACTTGTTACAGCCCTTTCACAAAAAGCAGCCCAATTTCAAACTGTAATGTTCTATCTCGATATATTGACGATATTTACAACTCTTTTTCATAAACCAAAAATCAAAGACTAATAAAATTGTAAATTATGTGGTTGTATGTATCTGAGATGAAAAAAAAAAAAAAGGAACATCAAGGTGCCGACCCAGCATACATAAAGATTTGTGCTGACACATCACGTAAGACTGGCTGTAGAAGCGAATGTGAAAGATGTATCATAGGTTGCGCAAGCATACCTTAATGTTCTATGTCCATGTATTATGGGTGTTTACAATTCTTTCTGATAAACAATATAAATCAAAGATTAATAATAAAAAGTGTTAATTATAGATTGTATGGATCAAAAATCTATTTAAGAAAAACTATATATATATGAAATTATCACTAGCATTATCGTCGTAATAGATACATTGTATGGAAAAAATCTGGTTGAAAACAAATCTCTTTCAAAATGTAAAAACACTGAGATTAAGCTGGCAAATGAATCAATAGGGGCTAATCCTGAACGTCTGGCTCAGGTAACATAGGTGACACAGACTAAGCATGTT